TGGATTTTTAAATAATATCACATTTATAGCAAGTTATAGAATATTTGATTGTATAGGTAATAGCTCAAATTAATTTAGAGTAAAAATTAGCCTTGTCTTGCATTTGAACTTTTAAATACACTTATGGCAAATATGAGAAGTACATTATGTTGTGTTTTCCAAATAGAAAAACAGTTATTCAAAAATCCTTTGTGCTGGCCAGTGTGGCTCAATGGTTGAGTGTTGACCTATGAACCAGAGGTCACAGTTTGATTCCTGGTCAGGGCACATGCCCAGGTTGGGCCATGGACTCAATACCCAGTAGGGGACTGGCAGGAGGCAGCTGATCAATGATTCTCTCTCATCATTGATGTTTCTCTCTCTCCCTCTCCCTTCCCCTCTGAAATCAATAAAAAATAGATATTTTAAAAATTCTTTGTGATAAAATATTAACATGACCTTTTGGCTTTGTCTGGTACAAGAACTTATATGTCAGCTTAACCTTTTGGCTTTGCCTGATATCAGAAATTAACTTTGGACTTGAAAATAATTTCTCGATCAGCATAAGGTCCAAAGATTGCAGAAAGTGGAGGGAAATACTTGGAATTGCCGCTGTTATTGGTTAGTCAATAAAGATGATTGTGCAGGTTAATGAAACAAGTAGATTATCAAATATAAGACAGCATCTTTTGAATTTTGCTCCATTATTTTATTGTTACTTTTTAAAAAAATCTCATACTGTTTGTTGAGCCTCATCACTTAATTTTTCAGCTTTCTCTCCTTGTTTCAAAAGCTTTGTAGTCGCCGCTTTTGTTGAGACAGCAGCCGTGAATCCTGTCTTCAGTTGTTTACAGTTCTACAGTTCTCAGTTGCCTAGGATATTGCTACTTCTTTTATGGTGAAAAATAGCACCTCCTCTGTTTGCAACCACAGAAGCTGGGGAAGGTGGTATGGTTGTGATGTGACATAGGGGCCGGGCAGAAGCAGGGCTGGCTGGAATAAGTAAATCATTATGGAGATTTAGAAATGTTTTTCCTCTGGAAATTGAAAAACAGAGCTCACATGGGGATATTTTATTCATGCAGAAATGAAATTGGAACTTGGTATAAAAACCCATCAGCTAAACTGAACATGATGTAAAACCTTGAGCATTTCAGTCCCAGGTAAATTATATTAGCAGATGTTCCCCTCAGAAGAGCCCTGGAGAAGTGATTCCTAACCAATCTGTGAACTGGGTGCATCAAAACCCCCGGAGTGCCCTGGCTGGGGTGGTTCAGTTGGGTGAGCAGAGTTCCATACACCAAGAGGTTGCCAGTTCAATACCCAGTCAGGGCACATGCCTGAGCTATAGGCTCAATTCCCAGTAGGGGGCATGCAGGAGGCAGCTGATTGATGTTTCTCTCATTGATATTTCTACCTTCCTCCCTGTCTCTTCCTCTCTCTCTAAAAAAATAAATAAACATTTGAAAATCAACAAACAAACAGACAACTCTGGAGTGCTGGTTACAATTCATATTCCCCGGCTCCTGCAAGGACCAGTCAGGCTTGAACTGAGGAGGAGCCCAGAATCTGCATTTTTATTGAGTATCCCTCCCTCCATTGGATTGTACTTATGTAGGTATCTTACCCATCCAGCTGGAATAGCAAAACACCACAGACTGGTTATTCATCAGAACTCAACCTTGATGGCACCTGACTTCCAACTTCCAACCTCCAGACTGGGAGAAAAAACAGCAGAAAGTTATTTCTCACATTCTGGAAGCTGGAAGTTGAAGGTCAGGTGCCATCAAGGTTGGATTCTGATGAGCACTTCCTTCCACATTGCAGACTTTTCCTTGTATGGTCACATGATGGAAGGGGCAAGGGAGATCTCTAGGTTCTCTTTCATAAGGGCACTAATCCCATTCGTGGGGGTTCCACCCTTATGACCTAATCACCACCCAAAGGCCCTTAGTACCATCACTTTGGGTATTAGGTTTCCAATTCATTAGGTTGAATTTGGGGGTGTGGGGAACACAAACATTCCGACCGTGGCAGCAGTGAATCACTTGGAATTTTCCCCAACGTTGGCCAGATTCTCTTGTAAATCAGTATCTCTAGAATAACAAGTTCCAAGATTGCAGCACTCACAGTGCAGAAGCTCTCACTATGTGGGGTGGCTGCTGCCCAGCATCAGCTGAAGTTAGTGGGAGCTGAGCAAAATCCCTCTCAGCCCTCCAGCTTAAAGATTTTAAAAGGAATTAATTCATCTATCTCCACTCCCAGGAAAACCTGATATGGAACCAGAGCCTGCCTCCCCAGGGGCTGGCACTGGGTCCTAAGTGTTATCAGAAGGGCAGGTGGCAGGGTGCCTGCTTCTGGGTGAGGTAGCTTTGTATACTCAGATTTATCCAAGCAATGCTGGGCCTCCCCTGAGCCAAGAAGGCCCACTCATCCTATTGCTTTCCAAAACAGTAATCCTCCTGGTCATCTTAGTCAACAAATATCCATTCACAAATATGTATTAGGTTTCTACTGTGTGCTGTTTCAGGCTCCATCGATTCCAGGGAACAAGAGAAATAGGATCCTGGCTTGTGGGCCACCTCAGTGTGTCCAGACCTCTTCTAAGCCCACTGGTCTCACAGATCATTTAGGCCACGTGACCAATGTCCAGAATTGTGTTCTTATTTTTATTCGGATTTACATTTTGTTCTGCTTATACTCTGTAACGCTGAGCTAGAAAACAGTGACTTCTCGCAGATGGTTTAGAACACATCCCCCGCCACTGAAGATGGCTCAGCCCATCTCAGAAGCCTTCTCAGCTGTTGGCCTTGGCCCTCAGGGAGGCGGGCTTTACTGAAGATTGTAGGTAAACTTGAGAACAATTGGCTTTTTGTTTAGATGTCCTTGGGCTATCACTTGGAAAGGATTTATTTTGCTTTGGCCTCTGTTCCCTCCTGGCTCCTAAAAAAAAGGCAGCTTTTTTTTTTTTATGAGCCTTTCTGTGTATTTAAAATTAAGCTGTCATATTGCTTTCTCAAATTTCAGAACAAGTTTAGAATTTGAGTGTGAAGACATTTTGTTGGCCCTTTTACAATGACATGAGTTCCAACCCTCAGTTTTTTTCTGAGTGAGAACGTAGGTAGATTGAAGAAACCTCGGGGGAAATTCCTTTAAGGAAGGAATGTAGAAGAGTAAATTCCATGTAAAGAGGACACTAATTTGTGTGTACCGCTTTCCAAACTGTGATACCTACATCACTGGTGCTAGACAAGATGTGTTTAGTTGGAATTTCACTGAAGTCTTATTTACCTACTAATAATATATTTAATTTGATTAGTCATGGCATGTGATAACTGGCTTTTCATTTATGACATGCATGTCTCCCTTCATAAAAGTTTATTTAAATAAAAAATGCAAAAATGTTAAATAACCATACAGGTGGTATATGAATATGGTAAACATCACAAGGTAGGTACACAGATGACAGAGTTTGGGGAAACACTGATGCCAAGAGCAAGCGTCTTCTAGGCCAGCCCTAGGCCTGCCAGGCCAAAGGTGCACACCCGTCACCCACAGAGAGCAGGGAGCTGGTGGAGGTGAGCTTTGCCTAAAATAGTCACACTTTATGGGTATATGCCAACCACACAGAGTAGCGAGCTGTGTGTGTTCAGCTTAATCGCTTATTGAGCCTCTCCTCTGGAATAGGAAATCAGTTGAAGGGGCTGGGGGACCAGAGGATCCCGGGCAGAGCTTTACAGTGAGAGACTCAGGAGAGTAGCCCAGTCTTACCCGAGAAGCACATTGGACCAGCCAGGACTAACTTGCTGATTTTATTTAAGAGGACAGTGCGGTAGGATGATGCTAAGCAAGAATGTCAAATGGAGCAGGCTCTTCATGAAATCTTACAAGTACTTACAACCATTGTTCTTTTCCCCTGCAAATACAAAAACCATAAAGCAAAAAGTAAATGGAGAAGAGCCATTAGCCTTATTTATATTTGGAACAGAATCTAGAAACAAAATTGTAATTATATTCTTTTCCTCATCTGTGTTTAACAGCAAAAATCCTCTGGGCTGTGGTCCTCTCTAGCCCCACCTTGACCTCCCCCATTCTCCTTGTGGCCTCTTAATGAGGCCCTTTGTAAGCTGACAGCAGGGGTCACCAATCAAAAGCTGCTCCCAGGTTGCGGGCTCACATTGCCTGCCTCTCTGCAGTTGTTCAGGCCCTGGAGGAGCCCCCACCAGCATGTTGCTTTTGTGGGGGAGTGGAGGAGAAAGTCCTCATAAAAAGACTAGAAACAGAGCAGAGTGGACCCGGGCTACCGACCCAAACCATACATTCTAATGCATAATTGGTTGTAAAAGCTAAGTCACCCAATCCTCCAGCCGCCAGTACTTTTCATTCTAAAAGTCATATTTCTTTTTTCTTTTACTTGAAACAGAATAAATGATTATACTCAAGGTCCAAGTGTTGAGTTTCTGTTTAGAACCAGAGAGGAAACTCAACTCAGATCCTCAGCTTGACTTTACTGGTCCCCATGGTCCCGGTCACAGCTGTCATTGCAGAGACCCCCGTCTCCACCCCTCTCCCTTCACGCCCCAACCTGCTGCTGGAACCATCTCATTTAGAACAGCTCTGAGGACTTAGGGGAAGGGATGTGGGGCAGCAATTCCCTGGGGCCTAAACAATGTTAATCATGAGAGCTGATGTTTAGGATTACTCTAAGTGACACAGATACGTGTTCTTATAAATTTGCGTGTGTGTGTGTGTGTGTGTGTGTGTAGAGAGAGAGAGACTGATTGATGGATGAATTGATTGATCGATTGATTTAAAGCCTTCTAAAGCACAGGGTAAAGACTGCTCTGCCCAGGATTTAGGATGGTACTACCCTACATCAGCGTTCAACAAGCCTTTTCCAAGTTCATCCCTGTCAGCCCATTAATCATGATATGGACCAACTGGGCCAGGACGTCCTGACTTTCTCGATGTGTTCCTTTTGAAGACTGCTGACTGGGTTTTTCTCTTGTTTTGTCTGTTAGGAACTGGTGAAAGTGGCAAAAGCACCTTTATCAAGCAGATGAGAATTATCCATGGGTCTGGTTACAGCGATGAAGACAGAAAGGGGTTCACAAAGCTGGTTTACCAAAACATATTCACCGCCATGCAAGCCATGATCCGAGCCATGGACACCCTGAGGATACAGTACCTGTGTGAGCAGAATAAGGTACAGCGCTTGCGGGGCGTTGCCCTGTTTGTGATGGCATGCTTTCCTACTCTGGTGAGCAGATGTTTCTGAACAAAAAGATTTACTGGGTGTTTTGGTCAGAGGCCAAAAGAAGCTCTTGAGCTCAAACTCCAGAGAAGTGTGATGAATGTAGTCGGCCCTGTGGTCTTTTTTATGCTGGAGTTCTAGCATGGCAATAGTGTGGGGCTACCCCGGTGCGGGGATTCAGAATTGTGGGCAGTTGTTTAATTTGCTTATTTCAGGCACTGAGAACAGGAAGGCATATGCATTTTCTCCTTCAGCTAAGGTACCCAGTTAGTTTTTCAGTGGAGCAATGGAGACCTTGGGTTTATAAGGGCCAACTTTTTAAAGAATTCCCAGTCTTAGGACATATTTTCACTAGTGCCCTGTAAACTACTCGGAGAAAGCAGTGGGTTTTGTTTGTTTATTTTGGGAGCTATCCCTTCTTGGGAGTTAAGTGATAGCTTATGTGAGTGATGCTTATATCCCAGGCAGCAGCGGGCCCTGATAAAGTATTGGTAACAAGCTCTCATTGGCTTTCATATTACCACTGGTCATTTAAAACACAAATCTGTGTAAGACCATAGGAAATAAAGGAGCAGGATGATGGGAGGAGGAGACAAATAAAATTTTATGTGGTATATTGGAATGCAAATTCATTGGACAATACTATGTCTGAGTTCATTAGGAATCTGGATTAGAAATAGTTTATTTAAAATCATACCAAATTACTACATGACGTGATGATAAAAAGAAAAACTCTGTCTAAGATGAGTCTCTTTGGGGTCTGTTAAAAAGAAATATAGCTGCTAAAAAGCCAGAATTGAGTGGGCTTTAGTATAGATCCCAAGAACAGCTTTCTCATGAACTGGTGGCACCTGTGTTCATATGTGCTTTATATATATACGAGAGGCAAATTTTGTGCAGGGGGGGCAAGGGGAGGGGTCCCTCAGCCCAGCCTGCACCCTATTGCAAACTGGAACCCCTTGGGAAGGTCCCTAGGCCTGGCCGGCGATCAGGGCCTATGGGGGCTTTCCTTCCCCCAGCTGCCGGCAGTTGGCCCCGCTCTCGATGCTGCTTACACTGCCCCCCCCACCCCCCCCCCCGCCACGGGTCGCCTCCCTCTGTGGGCAACAGGCGTGGAGGGAGAAGGCTTGGCTAGCCTGGGCCTCCCTCTGTGGGGCAATCGATCGCTGGGGCTCCGCCATCAATAGCCCAGCAGAGGGAGGCCCCACTCACCGGGGCTCCACAATCACGGAACCCCCCCCCCCATTGATTGCTTCCCCAGCTGGTGGCCTGGGCCTCCCTCTGCGGGGCAATCATGGGGCAATGGCCGGGCCCCCTTACCAATCGCATCGCACCTGCCTTGGCTGGCCTGGCGCCAGTGTGTGTCATAGCATGGTCATCCTGATGGTAATTCTGCTGTTTGGTCATTCGGTCAATTTGCATATTACACTTGTATTATACAAAGACTTTCAAAGCAATTAGTCCAACCTTTTTATTTCTCAGTGACTGGATTACATAGAAAAACACAGCATGCACCAAATCTTAGACTTACTTTTACACTGTGTCTGTAAATTCATGTCTATCACCATTTCCTTGCAGTCTTGAAGGAATGTATTTTGCCTATAGCTTCAACTTTCAACAGTGTTATACTGAAAAGTGTGTGTGTTGAGGGGGGATTAGCCTTTACTATATCTGGTGCCAAGTAATGTGAGAGGTGCATACCAAGCCATTGGGAGATTCTGGAAGTGACTCTGATGATTCTTTTGCACATTGTGTTGAGTACACGCTTTCTATCTTTTGAACCTATCCCATTCTTTTTTAATCACCCTGTACAAGGTATTTTAAAAATTAGGCCATCTGTGAAAATTTAGGATCAGAAGAGGTATGTCAGGAATATTCTTGTGGTTTAGTTTTCTGTTTGTTTGTTTTTTTTTCTGTTCTAAAATGTATTTGGTTTCTCGGTCATAGTAGGGTGACCAGGGGAAGCTTGGAATTTAGGGGTGGATTTGTAAACAGACCTATCGGGAAGAAAATGCTTAAGCGTATGTCAGTTCTGCTTACCTTGGCAACATGTTTGTAAAACCCAATCAGACTTAGTAATCAAGGTCTCTGGGTTTTTGCTTTGTTTTGTTTTCCCTCAAGGTCTTCTGGTGCTACTCTGAGTTTATGTTTTGAACAAAAAGGTTTTATGGGGTTTGACATTCTACCACTTTCTCCTTTTCTCTCTCTTTTTTTTTAAAAAAAATTGTCTTTATTGTTGAAAGTATTACAGATGTCCCCCCTTTTTTTCCCATTGACCTCTTCCACCCCACACCTGCCCCTCCCAGTCCTTCATCACACTGTCTATTGTCTTATGCATGTAAATTTTCTGCTTAATCTCTGCCCACCCATCCACCCCCACCTTCCTTCAGAAATTCGTCAGTCTGTTCCATGCCTCTATGTCTCTGGATCTATTTTGTTCATCAGTTTATTTTGTTCATTAGAATCCACATATGAGTGAGATTATGTGATACTTACCTTTCTCTGACTGCCTTATTTCACTTAGCATAATGCTCTCCAGTCCATCCACGCTGTTGCAAATGGAAAAGAGGGAACTTTCCTCTTGATCTTAATTCTTTTTCACCAGGCCATGTCCACTTGCCTACTAATCTGTTAGTTTCCCACAGCTGCTGTAACAAAAGACTTCAAACTGGGTGGCTTAGAAGAGAAATTTATGTGGCAACAGGTCTGAAGGCTAGAAGTCTGAAATTAAGGTTGATTGGTTCGACGGGAGACTGTGAGGGAAACTCTGTTCCATGCTTGTCTTCTAGCCTCTGGTCCTTGCTGGCGACCTTTGATGTCCTTTCCAGTCTCTGCCTATCTTCACAGAGTTCTCCCCTGTGTGTCTCTGTGTTCTGTCCGTGTCCAAATTTCTTCTTATAAGGATGCCAATCATTGGATGTAACTGGGTTACATCTACAAAGACAGTTACTTTCTGAGGTTGGGGTTTGCATGAATTTCAGAGGGATGCTATTCAACTCAGTAGAGTCTGCCTCCATTCATATCCATCCCACAAGCAAAATATATTTCCCCTATTCCAATAATCCTCAAAGTCTTAATTTATTCCAGCATCAACTCTGTCTCATAGCTAATGTAAACATCAACTCACAAGGCCCTAAATCTCATCATTTAAATCATCTAAATCAGGTATGGGTGTATGTCAGTTATATGGCATATTGGAATATGGATTCTGGATTTGGTCCATTCTGGAGCAGAATTCCTCTCCTTCCACAGACCTGTGAAACTAGGAAGCAAGTCCTGTGTCCTCTTCACTTATGTATCTGGCTCCATTCTCAATGCCTCCTTTCTTTCTGCTTTAAGTACCTACTTTCATGCCTCATAAACTTCCTCTTAACCCTCAGACATATGCCTGGGATGAACCACATGCTGAAATGGCCTAAGGAAAGGCAAAAGATTGAGTGGAAAGAACATTGGATGGGTTCCTAAAAATCTGGGCTCTGCTCATGGCTCCCCTGTGGGTCTCAGGCAGGAGTCAGCAAACTTTTTTCTGTAAAGGGCCAGAGAGGAAATATTTTTGGCTTTGAGGGCTATACAGTCTCTCTGGCAACTGTTCGACTCAGCCATTGTAGTGCAAAAGCAGCCATTGGCCATGCATAAACAAAGGAATGGGACTGGCTTGTAAACTCTATTGGCAAAATGTAAAAGCCACTCTTAATTCATGGTCCGGACAACAACAGGCCACAAGTACATTGAGTCCATGGGCTGTAGGTGCCCACCCTAGTCCTAGAGGAAGCCATAAAACATCCCTGGTCTTTGCATTTCTTCACCTGGTCAATGCAGCCCACACATGCTCTGTCTACTTCATAAGCCAACATGGGCAAAAGGAAGTGCTTTGCAAATTAAACGGCACTCAAGAAATACAAGGTTATTAATGGGGCAAGTTCAAAAGCCAAAAATGGACTCATTGCTTAGGTCATTTTCATCCATTCCTTCTCTATTGTTTTCTGAATAATTTTCTCTGTGGGCTAAAACTGATGACTAAACATGGAACTATAGCAAAGTACCATACTCATTTAAGTCATAAAATAAAATTAGTGTTTTCTTGAAACAGTTGATTAGTGAAGACAGGGTTGAACAAAGTCTTCCTTAGGTTTCATTTTTAGTGGTGTATTGCTTCCCTCAATAATTCTTTGTTAAGAATTTCGTTTGATTATCTTTTATTTATTTATTTATTTTTTGGAGCTGGGAACACTTTCTTAACAGTATATATAAGGAAATGAAGAGTGATTTTTTTCTTTAAATGTTTGCAAGATTATTGCTCAGCTAGGTTGTTTAAAGTCTTTGCCTATTACAGACAGGCTGCTTATGAAAGAAAAATTATCAGAAGGTTAGTTCAGCATTTGTTTTTTAACCAACATATTTTTTCCAATTAAGATTGAGCCTTTCCCTGGCTGATGTTGCTCAGTGGTAGAGTGTTGGCTCACAGGTTCGATTCCTAGTCAAAGGCATGTATCTGGGTTGCAGGTTTAATCCCTTGTGGGAGCCAACCAATCCATGTCTCTCTCACACATTGATGTTTCTCTCTCTCTCTTCCCCTCCCTCCCTTCCACTCTCTCTCTAAAAATTAATGGAAAAATATCCTAGGGTAAAGATTAACAAAACAAAACAAAGGTAGAGCCTTGAAGAATATTTTCTTCTGTTTTGCCGTCTTTTATTTGTAAAGAAATGATTCATATGTATTTGTTGGTAAGCCTTACTTATGAATGTCTCTCAGGAGTGCTGTATGAGCACATTAGAACTTATGACTTCTTGAATAAATATTACAAAGGTATGTGCTCAGTGACAAGGTTCCTACATTTGAGTTAGCTTATAACTCACTCTCACTAGTGATGATTTCATTGAAATCCGAAGAGCCTCATATTTTTGCTGTTTGCAGTGTCTCCAACTTGGAAAATTCTCATTCTAGACCTGTC